CTTTACAGGATAAATCAAATCTGGGAATCAGTTGTCTAATGTAGAGTCACCTGTCAGGTTCCACATCTCACTTCTTTCACTCAGGAAGAACAACTTTGCTTCAGCAGTGAGACAGGTAGCTGGTTCCCACGAAGACACTGCTCTTCATTGCCCCTACGCCGAGGCAGGGGATTGAAGCCCTAACCTTTGTTGAGCTACCTCCATTGCCATAGCCAAACACTGATTTACCTTTTAACACAGCACTCAGAGTAAGGCACTTAGGTTCATTCTCCTCAGGGACACCCTCAGATCTTTGGGGCTCAAGGAAATAAACCATTCTTTTTCAAGTCTTAAGTAGATCGGCCAACAGAGCAACACAACAATGCAATTTTGTCACTAGGAGCTTTTTAGCTAAATGTCTCTTTAGACTGGCTCATGGGACTTATAGAGATTTAAAATAATTGCTCAACTTGGTTTTATCCCCCAAAACAATAAAGGAGTAGTCAGGACATCTGTTTTGGTACTCAGTCCAGTGGGCTTTGTCAAATCCTCCTCATGCTCTTGTTCATGAAGATATCTAGTAGCTACATGCATAATTGCTAGTCTTTTAAATAAGGGAGCTGTAGAAAATATTATTTAAGTTCCTCCCACACTTACCTTGAAAAACAAAGCCAAAAGAAACCCCCAAACAGGACTGTGAAGAGCCCTGCTTCATGTCAGGGATGTTAGATAGCACTTTTCGTAAACCTATAGATAGTGAGTATATCAAAGTTCGACACTGAAACTCTTTCCAATTTTAGACTTAAAATTATTCCTGTCCCTACTCTTGGCTTTGTCTGTTGCCTATACCCTCTTTGGGGTGAGGAAAAAAAATGGTGTCCCCATCCTTGAGGGACACATAATTAAAAATAGTGTCATCCAAAGTATGGACTATGGTTGAGTGTTAATCCACAAACTGTCTCCTATTCAAGTCATACTTAAATAATTATGGCAACTGAAACTAAGCTTTCTCATATAATAATAGTGACTGATAGAGATATAAGTGACTGATGGAGAAACTTTATGTGTTTATTCCATCTGATAATAACTTATTTTTATGTATTTTTTAAGATCCATGGTTGCACAAGATGCCAAAAACAAAGAACTGATGAGTCCTACACAAGACATTCACACCACGCCTTCAAAGCTCAGGAACTTTATGGAGGACAGAGAGAGATGCTGATAATGCAGGACATGGATGGGAACTTACAGCAACTTTGCATGCTGACACCGGGTCCAGAAGCCAGGACATCCAAATAGTCACCTATGGAGGGGGAAGGAAGCAAGGAGCCCTACTGCGTACTTTTGATCTGTTAGCAAGTGACAGGTCCTGGGAGAAGGAGAACCGTGGTATCCAGTTGCGTATCCATGGGTGAAGCCACCAGGCTCTGATGGTCAGTTACAAACTTAAGATCATTCAGACAGCCCTGATTAGACTCTGTGGAACACCAAGCAAATCATCTAAGTAGAAAAAATGGGAAAGAGATTTCTAGAGATGATGGTGTTGGCTGATAGGATATGAAGGACAAAGGAGCCAGGCTACATAGTGTACATGTATGAAATTGTGAGAGAGAAAAACAGCTTATTGATAGAAAAAGAAGTATGGGTTAGAGACTGAAAGTCCGAGGCCAAACTGGTCTATACAGTAAATGCCATGTTAGCTATGTTATGTGACAAGAACCCAACTCAATAAAACAAAAAACAATGGACATATATACCGGGCAGTGGTGGCACATACCTTTAATCCCCCCCCCCAGCAAATGAAAATTCAAGCTTAGTTTTTTCAATTTTATTTATTAGAAGATAAATTGGTACTAGCCCACTAAAATCCATGAATAGATTGTCACCTTAATTTGAACACAGTGTTTAGATTATTTCCATATGTAAATTATTATAATTATATACACTTAGGCAGTGAAGGCATTAGGAAGCTATGCTTCTCTGAGACCTTTTATTAGCGTTGCACTTTGAGCACTAGGAAATGGGAATTTTGCTGTTCTGCTACATTAGTGTCTTTGAAAGGGGATAAACTCGGGAACCTTTGTACCCTGAAGTGACTGATTCATTATCTTCTTTTGGAAGACAAGTTGTGTTAGAGTAGAGGTGATCTGGCAAGTTGCAATGAATGCCTCACAGACCACAGTCTAAGACAGGTGTCAGGAGAAAAATGTCCCCTTTGCCAAATGGCCTGGGGATCATTACAGTGAGGACAGGAGAAAACTTAGCATTCACTGCTAAGGCAAGCGGCTCGTTTTCTGAATGATGGGAAGCCAGGACTAGAACGAGCTCTGACCAGTGAATCTGAGCAACGAGGACATAACACGAATGGCCGGAAGTGCCGGGAGCGGCAAAGAAGGGGCGGGGCTCAGTTTTTTTTTTTTTTTCAGTGGGACGCATCAGCAGGTCACAGCGAATGTGACTCTGGTCCTCAGGTTTGTTGAGTTGTGTGGTTTGGTCCTCTGTCTTTTGTTACTGCTGCTAAATTCTACTAGAACAACCCGTTCAAACTGACCAGTTTGTGGAGAAGTAGGGAAAACAGTTCCGAGGTCCCCTGTGGTATTGTTGGGATGTGAGAAGAGTGTTCTCCTAGGAGACTGTTAGATGTGGAAATATCTAGTGGAAAAGGCCTGAGGGCACGGTGTGGTGTTGTGTATGTATGGTAGTGCATGTGTATGACGTATAGAAGGTGATGTGTGTGTGTGGTGGTGTGCATTATGGTGGTGTATATGTGTGGTAGTGCCTATGTATGGCAGTGTATATGTATAACAGTTTGTATGTATGGCATATGAATGGTGGGCGGTGTATATTATGGTAGTATGTATACATGGTGATATGTATATATGTATGTATGACATATGAGTGGTGTGTGGAGAAGGATTCTTTATTTTTAGTTGTTTGGTCAGTTGGCTTTCTCAATAGTTACAGTGTTTCAAGGTACAATGTGGCTTGCTTTTCCTTGATTTCATCTGGGTTGGAGGGGTCCCTTAAAAGCATAGTAGACAAGATCAGGCACATTCAGGGTGGTATAGCCATAGACTTTAAATGTGTACCCTAGGCTAGCCTTGAACTCATGATCCTCCTGCCTCTGCCTTCTTCAGCAAATCCTACCAGCATGTGCCACAACAACCGGAGCACACCTCCACTGCTGGTGGGAGTGCCGACTTGTACAGCCACTTTGGAAATTAGTATGGAGTTTCCTCAGGAAAATGGGACTCAGTCTACCACAAGACCCAGCAATTTTACTCTTAAGCATATACCCAAAAGATACACATTCATACAACAAGGGCATCTGTTCCACTATGTTCATAGCAGTGTTATTTGTAATAGCCAGAACCTGGAAGCAACCTAGAAGCCCCTCAACTGAAGAGTGGATAGAGAAAATGTGGTACATTTACACAATGGAGTACTATTCAGCAGAAAAAAAAAAACAATGGAATCTTGAAATTGGCAGCCAAATGGATGGCACTAGAAGAAACCATCCTGAATGCGGTAACCCAGTCATGAAAAGATAAACATGGTATGTACTCACTCATGTATGGGTTTTAGACATAGATCTGGGAAGTGCCAGCCTACAATTCCACTGCCAGAGAGTCTGGGAAACAGGAAGGACCCTAAGGGAGATATGCATGGTACCCCAGAGAAAGGGAATGGGACAGGATCTCCTGAGCAGATTGGGAGCATGGGGGGCAGGGGAGAGGGAGCTGGGAAGAAGAGAGGGGGAGAAGAGGAGGGGAGTACATGGGGGGGAGTAGGAAAGTTGAGTTGGCGGAAGAATAGGGGAGATTAGGATGAGAGATGCCATAATAGAGGGAGTCATTACAGGTTTGAGGAGAGATCTGGCACTAGTCTGATTTCCAGACGTCTACAAGAATGACACCAGCTGGCAAACTAAGCAATAGTGGAGAGGCTACTTTAAATGCCCTTTCTGATAATGAGATTGATTACTACCTTATATGCTATCTTAGAGCCTTCATCCAGTGGCTGATGGAAGCAGAGGCAGATATCCACAGGTAAACACCAAACTGAACTCCTGGAACACAGTGACAGAGAGAGAGGAGTGATGAGCAAAGGGGTCAAGACCAGGCTGGTAAAAACCACAGAAACAGCTGACCTGAACAAGGTGGAGCTCATGGACCCCACACTGATGGCTGAGAGGCTAGTATGGGACTTATCCAGACCCCCTAAATTTGGGGATCAGTGAGGAGGCCTTGGCAATCTATGGGGCCTTGGGTACTAGATCAATATTTATCCCTGGCATATGAATGGATTTTGGGAGTTCATTCACATGGAGGGATGGACACATGGGGAAGGCCTAGGCCCTGTCCTGGATGAAGTGACAGACTCTGGGGATCCCCCCATGGAGGACTTCACCCTTCCTGGGGAGCCAAGTGGGGATTGGGTGGGGGCTTGGGGGTGCTGCAGTGTGGCGGGAGCAGAGGGGAGGGAGAGGGAGCTGGGATTGACACGTGAAACAAGCTTGCTTCTAATTTAAATAAATAAAATCAAAAAGAAAAAAAGCATAGGATTATTTTGTATGCATTCATTTTGTTAGTATGTACATCCTCAGGTGTGAATGTCATTAGAACCCTAGGCAGTTGGTGAGTCAAAGAAATGCAGTACAATAAGCATCAACTCTGATCCTAATTCTGAGCTCTTGTTAGCTTTATTAGTCTCTCTTGTTCTCGAAAGACCTATACTTGTGGAAGAAAGATCAATTTCTCTTATTTAATAAGTGGTGGTGGTGTTCTCAAATAGGTGCAACCCAACCCTCAAATCAATCCCGTAAAACAGTTTGTTGTTATCTCAGGGGAAATTTTGTGGAACTCAAGTAGCCAGACAAGCTCACCTATTTTTTTCTTCCAGAATGTACAGAGGTAGAGTGCTGGATGAAAGGAGGCGCCCCGCCCCTTTCATCTACCCTGGTGCTTGAGGCAAAGCCCAAGGCAGCGTTCAAAGTCTGAGTGTTTACTCTGTGGTGGGAACTTGAGAGACCCGCGTGAACTTGTTTTGCCAGCTTGAAACAAAGAGGAAGGTGTGAGAGAATGCGACCCGCCTCCTCCTCACTTCTAGCGACTTTGCTCACAGAGCCTATCGTGCCCAAGGAGTTGCGACTTGCTGGTCACAGGTAGGAGGAGAATTTGGCAGCATGGAAACCAGGCATCCTCTCTAATTATTGTGTGCAAAGAAAACCGCGTTTCCAGGCTTCAGGTAAAACAATCCACAGATACGTCCGTCCGAACCTTGGGCAATCACACAAACGCCCTGCATGTCTACCCCGCAGAGACGCAGGTAGATTCTATTTCATCCGAACCTTAGGATGCTGTTGGCCTGGGGCAGGGATGTGCACCTGCAGAGGAAGCGGTAGACTGGCCACGGGGCTGGATCTGGAAGTCCTGAGCCTGCTGCGTGGAAGAGCACCGAGTACCTATTTGAACGTCTCAGTGAGTAAGGCACCTGTCTTCCTTGGCAGCACTCCATGCTCGCTTCACTGATCGCACAGTGGAACAGCTTCCGAAGTGCTTTCCAAAGGGTTCACAGACAGCATGGTTTGTGAACACAGGCTCTTCGTTCTGTCTCACAGGAACACAGAGCAGACTTCCAAGGAAATAAATCACGTGGCCGCCCTGGAAAACGGATTCATCATCCAAGCTCTATACTAAGTTCACTTGCATGCTTCACATGGCTTTACAACCACAGCAAATGACAGCGATAGGATCCATGAGTCAAATGCTCTAAGACATGGGGCCGGAGTGAGGAGTCCTTTCACAGCAAGCCCCCTTCTGTCCCTGGGCTGGAATGGAAAAGCACCAGGCAACCAGTGAGTTCCTGACCCTGCGGTAGATTGTATGTTCACAGTGGTGGCATGAGAAATACCGCACAACTGAATGAGATCAAGTTTATTATATTCAAAGGAATTTTCCCCTTTTAGAGATTACACTTTTGCTTTCTGAGAATAAAGTGCCCTTTTCTTACTTATAGAAGATATACAGAGTGTACCCCAGGCAGAGCCCAAGGCACTGTTCAAAGTCTGTGTCTTTCTTTAATCTCTGTTGATAGCTTGAGAAGAAACCCATGGGATTTTCTTACCAGCTTGAAAGAAAAAGGAGGGGGTGGGAGAGTGTGTCCCTTTGCCTGTGTGTGTGTGTGCGCGCGCGTGTGTGTGTACGCACATGCATTATGTTTAGCATGCTTACCTGACAGAGAAAAAGTGGACATTCCCTCTGAACTATTCTGAGGAAAATTTCTGTCTCTGAAATCACAAGATCTTGGGAACAATGTTTGGATGCTGTTTCTGAGCTAGAATTCAAGCCATGTTGCTGGTCAGAGAAGCCAAAGGGCAGAGCCCTTTTCTTTTTTCTTTTCTTTCTTTCTTTTTTTTTTTTTTTTTTTTTGGTTTTTCAAAACAGGGTTTTTCTGTATTGTTTTGGAGGCTGTCCTGAAACTTGTTCTGTAGACCAGGCTGGCCTCAAACTCACAGAGATCTACCTGCTTCTGCCTCCCAAGTGCTGGGATTAAAGGCATGAGTCACCACCAACGCCTGGCCCAGCAAGCACTGTTGGGGTTCCCAGAATTGAGGAGGGGTCCCCAAGCTGGATTCGTCGCCCCAAGAATCAAGAGTCCACGTGCCAATTGATGCAACACGCAAGAGGCTTTAATTAGGCATCTGCAGATGGGCCTCTCGGTCAGCTTTTAGACCGATTGGCTCCGAGGTTCAGTTACAATCAGCTTTTAAAGACAAAAACCACAAGCCTTTGGGAGGGGTCCCTATCTTGTGACCGGGGAGGGGGGGTACATAACTACTGACCAGGGGAAGTAGATGTCTTCCTGACCTACATGTTGTAAATTCCTCAAGCCTTGGTATGAGTTAATCATCTCTCCCTAAGTAAATGGTGGTTATCATCTCCTTGTTTCCCACGAATCTTGTTTGCCCATCTCTGACGCCCTGGTCAGTTCTTCACAGGTGGTCAGCAGCCCGGAATTTGGCCTTTTGTGGGTTTACAGCCCTTCTGCAATTAAGGTTGCTAAACCATACATCCCATTCTGTGGTCTTTCAGCACATCTTAAAACGGACAGCAAACTGAGAAGACAGCAGACTAATATCGTAGAGATCTGCCTTATGTCTTATGCAGCTAGCACATTATATGGGGGAAAGGGAAGATGTCAATCATTCTGGAGTTCAGTCCTGTCCTTGACCACTGGTCACATGGTCAGCCACATTTTTACTACTTGACATGGCTACCATCATCTCTCGGGATCATCCCTTATGCCCTTCCCTTATTCTGAGATGTTTGGGCTCAGGTACTTTCGGGATCATTGAGTCATGCTGCACTCTGCTGCTATCAACTTTGTGTTCATCAGGAGCACTGAGGCAGGGAGTGGGGTTATCACAGAACCAATGAGTCATTAACAGTGTGTATCAGGAATAATAAAAATCCAGAGACAGATATTGGGGTTCAAGTTGAAGGTCAGAGAAGCAAAGTAGCCAGCCAGTAGTTCTTACCTCTACCAAAGTTGAAATGATGATCCTATCTTCCCTATGCCTGGAAACTGAATCTCACATGAGACCTTAGCTTCTTCCTTATAGACCTCTCTAGTGCTGGGGTTAAAGGTGTGAGCTCTGTGACTCTATTAGACTGATTCACTCTTGTGTTGTCCTGGGTGGCCTTGTGTCGCACCTGCTGTGCGGCCTGCATCCGAGACTGTAGTGAGGTGGTCGGGATAGATGACACAGAGACCGGTCGGTTGTTTTAAGAAAAACTTTATGCTTCCCAAGTCAGCTTAGGAGGAGACTCAAGTCTGCTTAGGATAGAGGAGTCTCAGGAGAAGTCTCTCTAAGAAAAAAGAGCTTCCCTTTTTTAAGGACTTCTGCCATCCATCCACATACAATTCTTTCCAGACTTCTCACCCTCCTGGCTGGTGGTTTTAACTCCGGCCCCAGAATCGGGGAGACACCGCAGGGGGGACAGGAAGAGGCATCTAGCCGTGTGAGCCCTATCAAGAGCTTTAAAGCACTGAATTGTTTTCAGTAAACATTACACAGCTGCCTGCTCCCAGGCCGAAGGGGAAGAGGGTTTCTGCTCAAGGTCTGGTGTCCCCACAGCCTTGAACTCTCAAAGATCCATCTGCTTCTGTCTCCTGAGTCCTGGGATTAAAAGTGTGTGCCACCATTGCCCAGCTTCTATAGCTAACTAGTGTGGCTGGCTGTGCATTCTGATCTCCAGTGGCTTTACCAGGTCATAAACAATATGTCACCACAACAGTGTGTGCATGCTCACCTAGTAATGACATGCTGGTGTTGGTTTCTATGACATGGAGTGCAAGCATGTCTTTATAATACAGAATGTAAAACAGATGAAAGTGTCCCTGGTCATCCCTGCTGTCTGCCATTATTTAGAATCCTGTGTCAAAGCAATAAAATTAATCAGTCCTTTTCTTAAAAATTAACATTGACATCCAACCTCTTTACCCAGCTAGATTAGGGTCTAACCTGATAAATCTGCCTGATTCTCCCTGCCATATTCCCTCCCACTCACCATTCCCAGATTGGCCCACACACTCCTGGCTTGGTCCAGGGCACATCCTGCACACCAGCCTAGACTGTGGGAGACTTCACCATACATTAACTGGACTTAACAGATATCTGCAAAATATTTCATCCAAACACCAGTGATTACACATTCAGCTCAGTACCACATGGAAGATTCTCTAAAATAGACTATATCTTGTGACACAAAAGAAATAATTACAAATTTAAAGAGACTGAAATAGCTCCTTGTATCCTATTGGACTACAATGCAAGAAAACTTAAAATTGATGTTTGTCTTAGTTAGGGTTTCTATTGCTGTGAAGTGACACCAAGACCATGGCAACTCATATAAAGAAAAAACACTTAATTGGGGTGGCTTACATTTTACCTTCCACCTGGTTCTGTAGCCATTTGGATCCCAATAAACACACAGAGACTTATATTAATTATAAACTGTTAGGCTGATGGCTAAGGCTTCTTATTGGCTAGGTCTCTCTTAATTATTAACCAATTCTATTAAACTATGTGTTGCTGCAAGGCTGTGGCTTACCTGTATTGCTCTGGCATATTACTCCTTTGGTGGCTTCTACCTCTATGGTGACTGGTCCCCTGCCTTTCCTCTTCCCAGAATTCTCCTAGTCTGGTAGCCCACTTATACTCCTTGCCTGGCTACTGGCCAACCAGCATTTATTCATCAACCAATACGAGAAACATATATTCACATCATATAGAAAGACACCCCTCATCAGTGGTGGGCAGACAGACATGGTGCTATTGAAGGAGATGAGAGTCCTACATCTTGACTCACAGGCAATGGGAAGTGGTCTGGGACAATGGGCTGGCTTGAGCATATATGAGACCTCAAAGCCCAGTCCCACAGTGACACACTTCCTCCAACATGGCCATATCTACTGCAACAAAGCCACACTTCCTAATAGTGCCACTACTGGGGGCCAATCACATTCAAACTACCATAGTAGTAAATTCCTAGTAAACATACAAACTCATGGAGATTAAACAATTCCTCACTGAATGATGTATGGATCAAAGAAAAACATTAAGAAAGAAATAAAGAGTCTCCTGAACTAAATGAAATACAATATAACAAAACCTCTAGGACACACTGAAAGTAGTTCTTAAGGGAAAAATGACAGCTCTAAGTGCTGTTTTCTGTTGAAAAATCAGAAATAACACAAATTAATCACCTAATTATTCCACTAAAAAAACTTGGAAAAATAAGGACAAACCAAAGCCAGACCCAGTTGGTGGCAAGAAATAATAAAAATCAGAGAAGAAATTAATGAAATAGAAACAAAACAACACAAAAAAAATCAATGAATCAAAGAGCAGGTTCTTTGAAATGATAAGAAAGATTGACAGACCCTTGACTCAACTGACCAAATGAAAGAAAGAGAAGACCTAAATTAACAGAATCATAAGTGAACAAGAAAACAAACATTACAAACACAGAGAAATTCAGAATATTACAAGAAAATACTTCAAAATCTGTATTCCATTAAGCTGGAAAAAGTAAAAGAAATGGATGGACTTCTAGATTCCACCAACCCACCAAAATTAAACCAAGAATAAGTCAACAACCTAAGCAGACCCATAACAAATGAAATTAAAATAGTAATGAAATGTTTCCCATTAAAAAAATAGAACTACATATCCATAATAAACATAGATTCAAAAATGTCCAAGAAAAATACTTGGATATAGAATACAGACATACATCACAAAGATTATCTACCATGACCAATTTGGGTCTATCCCTGTGATTCAGGGATGGTTCAACATGTACAAGTCAATAAATGTAATAAACTGCACAAATGGACTTGAAGACAAAAAACACATGATCATCTCAATAGACACAGCAAAATTCTTTGTCAAAACCCAACATACCTTCATGATAAAAGTCCTAGACAATGTTGAACTAGAAGCAACACACTTCAATATAATAAAAACTATCTATGAGAAATGTACAGCCAACGTCATCTTAAATGGAGAAAAACTTGAAACAATCCTATTGAAGTCAGGAATGAGATGGAGCTGTCTACTATGCCCACTCCTTTTCAATAGTGTACCTGAAGCACTGGTTGGAGCAATAACACAAGAAAAAGAATTAAAGGAATTAAAACAGGAAAAGAAGAAGTCAACCTATCTCAATTAAATATTGGAGATCCTTAAAATTCTATCAGAAAATTTCTAGAAACACAAATTAAATGATGTGGCAGTATACAGAATCAACTTGTACAAATTAGTAGCATTTTTCTATCCCAACAGCAAACACACAGAGGAAAAAGATCAACTACATGCTTCTGTTCACAATATCCTCAAAGAACATAAGATAGGAATAAACTTAACCAAGGAGTTGAAGGACAATTATAATGAACAATTTTAAACCTCTAAAGAAATATAAAGAGGAAGATACCAAAAATGGAAAGAC